ATTCTATTGCCATAAAAACCGTTATAGCCTCAGGGAATACAGTGAAGCTCATAAATCCCGCGGTGATAGGTCTTTTAGGCGGTTCTTAAAGTAATTAAAACCCACAACGATAGCCTCAGGGAATACAATAAAGGTCAAACAACGCACGGTGATATGTCTTTAAGATGGTTCTTATCGCAGTTTAAAACCCATGGTGACAGCCCGAGGGAATACGGTTAAGCTCTCTCAAATCCCGGTGATAGGATTTTCAGGGGTTTCTTATCGCAATACAAACCCACAGTGACAACTTTACTGTATCCCGTAAAGGTATTATCGTGGATCTTATTGCGATTAGATCGCTCTATAAGACTATCGCTTAGGGTTGTGTGACCATTACTGTATTCCCGAGGCTATCATGGTGGGATTTAAAGTACATTTTGTATTTAAAATCAAATAATAGGTCATCATGGGCCGCGTAAGTTTTACTGTTTTACAAGAGGCTTTAGGTTTTATTGCCTTAAGGATCCTCTACAAGGCATGTTACCGTGGCATGTGTGAGCTTTACCAGTTCCCGAAGCTGTCACTGTTGGGTTTTTTTCATTAAGAATCCTCTCAAAGGCCTGTCACTGCGGGTTGTGATAATTCTATTGTTTTCCCTGAGGCTGTTACCATTTGTTAAATTGCGATAAGAACCCTGTAAATACCTTTCATCGAGGGTTGTCTGATTTTGCTGTAAACCCACCCTGAGGATATCACGGCGGGATTTATTGCAATAAGAACCCTCTAAAAGGCCTACCACTGTGGGTTGGAAGAATGTTACTGTATTTTCTGAGGCTATCACCATGGGTTTTATTGCGATAAGAACTCTTTAAAAAACTTATTACTGCGGTTTTTGTGAGCCTTACTGTGTCCCGTCAGACTATCACATTGGTTTTAATTGCGATAAGAATGCTCTAAACAGCCTATCATCGTGGTTTTGTGAGATTTACCGAATGAATTCTTTGAGGCTATCACCGTGGGTTTAATTGCGATAAGAACCCTGTAAAAAACTATATCAACGGGTGATGTGAGTTTTAGTGTACACCCTGAAGCTATTACCGGTTTTATTGAGTTAAGAATCCTGTTGTGGGATTTGTAAGCTATCATGTAAACCCTCAGGATATCAACGAGTTTTTTTTATCGATTAGTACCCTCAAAAAGGGCTATGACTTTGTGTTGTGTGAGTTTTACTAAATTCCATTAGGCTATCGCCGTGGTTTGTATTGCGATAAGAACCACGCAAAAGGGCTACAATCCTAGGTTGTTTGAGCTTTAATGTATAACAAGAGGCTGTCACTTTGGTTGTTATTGGGTGTTATTGCGATAAAAAAAAATATATAAAAGGCCTATCACCGAGGATTGTTTGACATTTAATCTATTCCTTAGGCTATCATCGTAAGTTTTATTGTGATGAAAACCGTCAAAAAGGCTTATCACCGTGGGCTGTGATTGCACTTTATTCTCTATCACGGTGAATTTTATTACGATAAAAAACCTGGAATGGGCATATAGCTGTGATTGTATGAACTTTACTGTATTCCATGATGCTATCACTGTTAATATCATTACGATAAAAACCCTGTAAAGGGCCTATCATCGTGTATTGTGTGAGCTCTATTGTATTCCGTGGGGCTGACATCGTAAGTTTAATTGTAATCTAAAAGGCCTATTACTGTGGGTATTCTGAAATTTACTATATTCTCTTAGGCAAATAACGTTGGACTTACTGCAGTAAGAATCCTCGTAAAGGCCTATCACCTCGGGTTGTGAGAGCTTTATTGTATTCTCTGAGGCTATTAACGTGGGTTTAATTGTGATCAGAATCCTGAAAAAGGCCTGTCACCGTGTATTGTGTGTCACCGTAGGTTTATCAAATAAGGTGGTATCACAGTGGTTTATATTGCGATTAGAACTATCTTAAAGGCCTTACAGCCGAGATTTTGAAAGGTTTACTGTCATCACGGAGGCTGTCCCCGTAAGTTTTATTCTGAGCATCAAAAAGGTATGTCACAGTGGCTTTATGTGAGCTTTACTGTATTCCTTCAGGCTAAAATTGTGTATTTTTATTGCAATAAAACCCTATTAGGGGGCCTATCGCCGTGATTTGTTTGAGACTAATTGTATTCCCTGAGGCTATTACCGGGGGTGTTAAAAAGAAATAAAAATGGTCTATCACTGTGGCTTGTGTGAGTTTTACTGTATTTCCTAAGTGTATCTCTCTTTGTTATATTGCGATAAGAATCCCAAGGTGATTGCTTCAGGAAAAACGGTAAATCCAACACAACCTTCCTCCAAACATAAACAACATCGATTCCTTAACGGAATCAGACAGATCTTGTTATGACATTGGGTCTGATTTTTGTAAAGAATGCCTTCCAAACTAATGGAAAACGACAGATGGTCTTTTAATGGTCCGCTCTAAAAATTAAGGTTTATTTTACGAAATTGCTTAGACTTTACTAACTTAAAGAATTAATTTTTAGTGGCATTTTTCTTGCTTTGAATCTTATTTTGCTGTGAAGAAAATCCGCTTAAAATACAATCTACTAGATTATTACATTTTTCTTTTACGTTCATATTCCAATATCTGACTGCAACACGTTATTTCCTATAACAAAGTGTTTTGTATCCATGTCTTTACTTTCTCAATTTTCAGTCGATCTACGGTTATGGAAAAAAGCAAATTTCCGGTCCACAACCAAGCCATGCGAAAACATCTAGGACATTTTCCTTGGGTTAGGGCTTTTGTCCTCTTGCTTTGCAAAGAAAACCCTCCAAACAAGTACGAAACCGCAACGGAATCAGAAAAATTGTATTTTATACTGTATTTTTAATAAAATATTTACACTTTATTCAGGAAAACGAATCACCGGACCAAATAAACTATACCACATGGAAATATTTCATATTGGCTACCGTCCTCATATTGTGGAAAGAAGACCCAACAAACCTGTACATGGTGTTTTAATGGTTTTCTCGAAAATATGGTGGGTTTTACGAAAATGTATACACTTTGTGTACAACGACCATGCAATGGAATCAGTCAAATGTACTATTTTGTACGGTAGGCTCGAGAAAAGGTTTTTATCCGAGAATTTAAAAATTATAAACTTTATATATGGAAAGAAAGGTCGTCTATCCTACGAAGGACCATGCCACGTGGAAATCTCTCGGTCATTTGCTTTTGTTAGAATTTTGGTCCTTATATTGAGCAAAGAAGACCTTCCAAACTAGTACAAAAGCAAATCCGCAATGGAATCAGACAAATGATGTATTAACGGTTGGTTTGAAAATATGGTGTTTTTTTCATGAAAATGTATACATTTTATTTTCATTAAGAATAAATCACCGGTCCTGAAAACAACCTTGCTAGGCAGGAAATACCACAGACATTTTGCTTGGTCTATGGTATGAGCCTTACATTGTTTACAAACTTGTATAGAAACAAATATGCAACGGAATCAGTCAAATGATGTTTTAACGGTTGGCTCGAGAACCTGGGTATTTTTCACGTAAATTCATACAATGCAGTCATTTTATATACACGGGAACACAAAGCCGGTCCAAAAAAAACGAGCATACCACGCGGAAATCTCCCGAATATTTTGCTTCGGTTAGGGCTTTGGACCTGATATTGTATAAAAAAAACAACTCACAACTAGTAGCCAAAAACAAATCTGCAAGAATCAGTCAAATGGTGTTTAAACGGTTGACATTAGGAAGTGATGTATATAAACAGGAAAGTGCATACACTATATATACAGACAGAGCAAAATGCCGGTGCAAAAATAGACCACCACTCGCTAATCCCGGGACATTTTCCTTGGGTAAAGGCTTTCGGCTTTCAAGCTAATAGAAAATTGAATCTGCAACGGAATCATAAAAATGGTCTACATTTATGAACGTTTCTTTCAAGAAAATTGCACAAATCTTACGGACATACGGCTTGGGACAGACTCAATCAAACCGAGTCTGCAATTTTCTTGTAATTTTGTTGTGATTAATGATTCCGAGGGATCACTTTGTTTCCAGATTTTCTGGTTAGGGCTTTGGACCTCATATTGTGCAAGGAAAACCTTCCAAATTAGTACAAAAACGTTTCACCAACGAGATCAGACTAAGTGTGTTTTAACAGTTGATTTAGGAATATGGTGTTATTTACGAAATTTAATATAGCCATTAAATACAGAACGACAACAAATAGCCGGTACAGAAAACGACCATGTGAAATCTATATTGTGTAAAGAAGACCTTCCAAACTAGTACAAAACGAATCTATAACGGAATCAGTCAAATGGTGTTCAAACAATTGGCTCGGAAAATTGGTGGGGTATTTTTCGAAAGTTTTATACTTTGAATTGATAATTCGACCTACTGAAGAAAGAGTATCGTTTAAAATTAGATAGCCAACATTACAGGAGAAAATTTTGTCTAATCCAACGAAAAGAAGTAAATAGTTTCTTATGTTTGTCTCGATATTTTTATTATATTTTCCTTTAAAATGATTTTAAAATATATTCAGGAGATCAATATTTACTAATTGAGTAAAAAATCAATTGAAAAATAGAAGCTACTCAACTTCAATTAATGCGCTTTCTAAAATCGTTGCGCACTTATTTATTGCGTATTCCTAAAAATAGTTTTATTCAGTTGTATAAATGTCTAACAAATGAAATATTCACTGATAAACTTGTTTCTCTGAATCAAATATCTTATTATGTCCAGTTTAATAGTGCAGATTGAAATTAAGATATTAATCTTGACCTTGTAGTTTTTTGTCAGACAGAACCACTTGAAGTTATAGCCAAAAGGATATTGAGTTTTCTGATACATCAATTTCAGTTACTTCTTGTAAGTCCATACAACGACCGACCTGCTATATTTGATACCATTTGATTACCAATTAAATGAGTCACTCGGACTCTCAAAGATGTAGGTTGGGTAAATTATGAAAAAATAATATACACGTATATGTATGGCACGTTTAATATGTTTTAATCCAAATAATTTAAAGATCACAAGTACAACTTGTAAGGAAAAATATGTAACAAAAATAGTTTACATAATTTTACAGAGTCAATATTAAAAAGCTTACCAAACCTGCCGTCCAGGATGATAAAATCTTATAAAAAGTATTATATTCCATTATTTCTTGAACAGCCATTGAAACCTTGACTTTCAAATAATTTGAATTTTGTATTACTTTTTTTTCGTCATAATATAATTAAGATATAATATATCCCAAACTGTGATTTTATCGCTCAATAACATCACTGTTTGGAGTTCGGATGCGAGGAATTATATCACGAGGGCGTAGCCCGAGTGATATAATGATGCGCATCCGAACGACAAACAGTGATGTTATCCAGCGATAAAGTCACCGATTTGGATATATTATTTCGATTCTAACACGACATCAACAAATAAATGCTGCCGTACCTGATATTAAGCAAAATTGGGCCTGACTTGTTTCCGTACTTATTGTTAGAGCGTCGGATCTAATAGTGCCTTACGTCACATATATAATGATTACGTCACACGTCAAACAGTGATTTTATAGCATAATAACCCACACTTTCGGTTCTTCTGTGTTCAATAGGGAAAGATGCGGGTCGTGTTAGAATGAATATTAATGCATGTATATCAATGACAAAATATAAAGTTTAAACAATAAATATGTAATGTCACTTATGACCTGCAAAGATGAATAACAATCATACCAGGAATGCATTAGTATCAAGTTTAAGATCTAAGTTCTAAAGCAATGGATATGATCAAAACTATCGCAGTGAAAGAGAACAGTAAGAGTTACAGAGTTGTTTTATGGTCGCAGTGTCAAATGTCTTCTTAACAATTTGCAGCAGGTAGTAGATAATTTTGAAATTAATTTAATTTCTGAATAAACCAATAATATCATAAAAGCAAAAATACATATATTATAATGAAATCATGCATCCGCGCACATCGCACTCGCACACGACCAAAAAGGCACATAAGTTTCAATTTTCACCACAGGCGATACGTAGCACCGCTGTTCAATTCATGTAACTTCCTGTTCAGCTTCTGTTGTATACACTATGAAGAAAGTATGCAAAGACACTTGAAGCAACCAACCAAAATATACCCCACGCACCAACGATTATCTAAATTGTAAGATATTGAAATGTCAACAGTGCCATCAGCTCTATGGAAACAAAAATGTCCCATGCATATAAGATTAAAGCAAAGAAAAAATGTTATTTTGCTATCAACAAACGTTACAGTAAATTAAATATCAACTTCAAAAATGATGCATATATCAAGCACATAAATATGTCATTTAAACAAAAAAACATAAACTTACTAGCATTTAATGAAAATCGTTTGGCTAAAATTCATATAGGTGTGTGTTGTTATTTAATTTAATACCTAAGCATCAATATTTCTAAATTAATCATACGGTCCGCCAGCTTAGATCAATTGGTTGAGCATCTGGTTAGTAATCTAGGGACCACTAGTTCAATTATCTGTCGATGCAAAAAAATCACCGAGCCAAATGATCTCGTGCATTGAGTCTTATGGTCCTAGGTCGTTCACTTTTTTTTGAAATCGCGTTGCACAAGTATTAAGTCAATAACAGGTTAATTGGTAAATACTGGTCAGTTACGCAGGAATGACACTAACATTGATCTGCCGCAAAGATATGAACACACAGTGTGAAAAACAGATAAAAAACAAAAAAGCGTAAAATCGTTAGGAAAGGAAGTATTTTAAACCTGATCACTTCTTTTGGTCCCATATCTACATTTGCTAGCAAAGTGTTCGCAGTTATTCCAAAAAAGATTGTACCCAATCTTCCCTACCATACTTTTGGCTGTATTGATAATATCTTCAACCGGCTTAGGCCTAAATAAGAAAATATTTGTTGAAGCGTCTTCTTTATTTTTATGTAAATTATTTAATAAGATCTTCCAAAGTACGAGGGATTATCCATAAATAACCGGACTTACTCTCTAAAACAATTTATTCTTAACGATTTTTGCATGAATTCTGTACCAAACGTAATTCAGATGAAACTGATTATGTTCGAAATTTAAATGTTATTCTTCAGATGTATTCCGTTGTTTTATGCGTAGTCATGGAAACACACTAGCGTAAGAGCGGGGGAAGTCATTTTTCATTCACAAATTGTTATTTTATAGTTTATTTTGAACATATTTCGGACTTTGCATTTCGGAGCCAATTACCGTCAGTTTGAAATGACGTCATGCACGTCTTTTTATCAACGTTTTCCGTTATCAAACAACAAACCGGACATCATATCCGCTAGTGTCTTGACAATAGCGTCTCATCAGTATCCAGAACAGCGCAAAATCATTATTTTTTGGTGCGAACTTTGTAATCCACCTACAAAAGCTTATGAAATGAAAACACAGTCATCTGCAGGAAGATAGTATCAAGAACACAAGTTTTTGAATGGCATCGGCGATTCGGTGAAGGCAGGCAATATCTAGGAAATGATTCAAGAGAAGGTCTTAGACGTTTGTGTGTTGTATGTATATTAGTGTTGTTTATTGCCATAATGCATTGAAATTTTCAGGAGTCATGCATTAAACATTGAAATTAATTTCAGATATTTTTCAGGATTTTCTCTTTGTCAGTTTCTAAGTTATGCGCCCAGTCCGTTATTTCTGGATCACCCCTAGTATGTGTTGAATCGACTAAGATTTTGCAAACACTCAAGAATGAAAATACGTTTTCGAGATTTGAGTGCAATATGATGTCTGTTTGAACCAAAATCTTATGTGCAATACTTCAGATCATTTACTCTCTCCTCCTTCTAAAGTGTTGAATCGAATTATAAAAGATGACCAGAAAATGAAAAGCTTTCATTCATAAACACACAAATAAGGGTAACTAGAACTCGCACAGAAATTTGTTTTCAATTCAACTTGAAGTATTTTTCTTTGTTATGTTTTGCATATTCATATACAAATTGATCATTTCAAGGTATAAACCACCCTTAACCAACGCTTTCATATTTGTGTTATCTGTGTAATGAATATAATGAAATTGGCCACGACTGAAGCACGTTTTCATATTTGAATAAGATTCAAGGCCATCTGACATTATGTTAGAGGTCCATTTGAAATTAATTACACAAAAAGCCACATGAAAAAAATAAACATACGTAAACAGGTCATCTTTTTCATTGTTTATATCTGCTTTGCTATCAAATGCTACTGTCCAGAAATCCTCCTGTCTTACCCATCCTTTAGAGAAAGGTACACCGGAGATTGCTAAAAAATGTATCAATCTAATATCTGATGTAATGGGCTCATCCCCACATAAATGAATAATCTCTTGGTCCCCTATATGAAAACAAAAGAAATAGCTCATTTCAAGAATAACTTATTGTCAGTTTCATATGATTTTAAAATGTCCTATTACAAATAAATTCGTTTTATGTTTTTTTTATTATGTTAAGGTGGTGCATTTAACTTGCTTCTTTTATTTTCAGCATGTTTTAAACGTTGACCAAATTTAATGTTACATAGTATTTGATAAAAGTTAGAAAATGAAATGTTATATAACAAATGAAAATTGAAAAATATACTTCAATCATACCAAGACAATTCTGTTATTGTCAGAAATTGTAGGGTTAAATGCAATAAATCATTCAGGTGTGTAACCTAAGAGATCGTGTTTGTTGATAAATGAAAATAATTGAAGTTTTATTTAATTATGTCCATTGACTTCGTGTTTCACCGTCAGGCCTCGAGATGAGCCAAAATATTTCAAGAAATCTAATTTGAGAAAATTTTATACGACTTAAAGAAAAGTAAAAATATTAATTATTCAAGTAATAATTTACATGTTGCATTCAATAGATGACTGATTTTACAGTATTTATCTGCGTTACTAACGCAGTAGGGGCTATTTTTGCATATTTTGACATCTTATTCGTAATTAAATTGGATTTTTTAAGGGCGCTTGCAATGTGTAAATAATATCTTAGTTTACTTCACAGTAATCTACTTTTAAACATTTTCACATTTTCAAACTTTTCATGAAAAATAGCATGAATCTGAAGGCTTGCTCCTTTTAAATGACATTATGCCCATCGAAGGGAGAAATGTTTTATGGTAAGAACACAGTGTAGAACTTGCGTAACGTTATAGTCTACTTGAATATTCAAAAATCCATGTGAGGCATAGAAATTTCTATAAAACGATTTTTGTTATGTATCGTTAACGTTCCATGGATGCAATGAATTGGGCAGTGCTTTAGCAATTCTTTGACAGCTGCTATATTTAATCGTTAACATTGTCAAATACATGATCAGAATGTCACTCCAATCATTTTTATTTTTTATTTCAATATTGCTCAACAAACGTCATCTGCAAAAGTCGTGTTTAAATTTAACAATAGCAAAATGTATTTATTAAAGAAACAATAGAACAATAGGCACAGTAAGGAAAAACAGAATCCAAGAAGAACGCCAAAAGAGACAAAATTAAAAATGTTGCAGGCTCAGTTTAATTGAGCCTGCTCGCGGATGGTACAGTAAAGTGCAAGCTTTTGACCTATTGTTATTAACATAATAATGCATTTAGAAGAATTATTTGAAATATGATTTTTTTTGTTCTTTTTTATCATTTCATTTGATTAAAAACAAACGTTTGACAAACCTATATAAACAGCCCAATGATAAAAGAACGGCCGTGCAAATGTAACAAGATCCCCTGGTCTTAGCTCATTTAAAACCACTTTATTGTGTGTTGTAATATAGTCTTGAGGTTTAGACCTTTTCACGTCAGACATCTAATGATAGATTTGATATATGAATGATACATATGAATAATAAAGTTTTTAAAGTTCAAATTAACTTACATGAAAATGTATAAAGACAAAAAGCTTAAATCTGTTAAAAATGTAAACTAAATCGTAATTATTATATTTAATATCATTAAACAGTTAAATGCAATGAGAAGTCAAACGAAACAAAAAAAATCATTTTCCTTTTTCATAATATTGACAACTTAAGTATTTCCAATTTTTTACATTATTTACCTCTTTTGCCAAGAATGGCAGCCATTATGCACTTATGGGATGATCGTTTTAGACAAGACTAGTAATTTAATGAATTAAATATCACAACTATTTTTCCGGCAATTTTCTTTCATTTTAAATGATAGTGGTTCTTACATCAATCAATATTGTTCTGGTGTCTGAGTGGCTAAATCTTGATATATCGTTGGCATCATTAGGTACCAATTGCATGGTTTTTGATGTATTTTTATTCTCACAGCACGCACATATCAATGGTTAAAAAATTAAATAGTGCTTAATTACCTCAGTGGTTCTGCTTATGTCCAAGCCTTGAAAATGAGGTGAGTCCTAAACAGGAAAAGTAAATATCCGGCAAACGCCATCAATTAACCAAAAAAAATTCAATTTCAAAAGGCGCATTTTTTTTTTGTTTTGATAGATGATAAAAATTAAAAAGTAATTTCAAATGTATTTTTAAAAAGGAATATCAAATGCTGGTTTAAAATGAGAATATATGAATTTTAGATCCGATACTAACAAACGGAAACAATTCATTTTTTTAATTGATACTTTCATAACATATTTAAAAAGCTATTATTATTTTATCATTATCCTCCGGTAATACACTCTTATATTCAATGATAAATTACATACAAATTATTCTGCAATAGTCAGAATTTTCTGCTGAAATATCTATATTTTACCATATAAATACAATGACCTCACTGACCTCAAGAACAAAATAAGTTTCAGATTAAATTGCAATGACCGTATTGTCATAGCAGCAACATTGTTCTGAAATATGTAAATCTTGAAATTTATAAAATATAATTAAATTTGCAAACTGCACAACATATAGCGTAAAGTTTTTTTATATAAAATAAATTTATCTTCATAAGGATAAACAGTCATTATCAACTACATATATTCCTGTCAGATAAAAAAGTCAATGATCGACTGATTATTCGATGCAAGTTTTTGATAACTCTGTACATCAGTTTATAGCTTCTAGTTCAGAATTTGTATCACTTATTATTATTATTCAACCTGGTACACTTATGCAATGATCGTCGTTTTCTTCTTAGCTACTAATATAATGCTAAAGATATTACAACTTTTAAAATTTGTTTCGGAGATTTTGGTATATTATAAATTATAGTGATTTTCGTCTCCATATACATTTTCTGGTGTCTTAGTGTGGCGTTTAAATCTTAAACTATCGTTTTAAATAATAAGGTACCAAGTATCAAAGTCCTTTTATTCCAAGCTACAGCACGAACATGTTAATGGTGAAAAAATCAAAAGTGTTTTCTTACCTCTTGACATACATGATGTATATGGTCAGTGTGTTTTCCCACGCCTATGCTTTGAAACTGAAGTGAGGCCTAAACAAAACAGGGCAATTGTACGACAAATGCTATAGATCAACTCAACAATTTATTTAATTCAAGAAAGAACAAATTCATCATTTAAAAGATGATAAAGACTTAACAGTAATTTTTTAAGTATTTTTAAAGAGTAAAATTAAATGTTGGTTGAAAATGACAGATAATAATGTATTTCAGATAATGTTAACAAACGGCAACCATTCATTTTTAATGATTATTTCAGAATGAATAAAAATGCATTATTCTAACTGTATCCGCGGTTATGCAAGTTGTATTGCAAGGATAGTTTACATACAGCTTATTCGGCAAAAGTCAGATTTTTCTGCTAAGAAATATTTTTATTTTTCATAGAATTCAAGAACCAAAACGTTTCAGATCAAATTACAATGGCCGAATCGTCATAGTAGCAACATTGTTCTCAAATATTTAATTCTTGAAATTTTAAAAAAACTGCACATAACATATTGTAAAGAGATTTCTGTGTGCACTAACGTTATTTTCATTACAAATTACTAAATTACCTCAGTGGTTCCCTTTATTTCCAAACTTTGAAAAAGAAGTGAGTCCTAAACAAAGAAAGGCAAATATCAGGTAAATGTCATCAATGAACCAAAAAATCAATTCAATTTCAAAAAACACAAATTTATGTTTTGAAAGTTGATAAAGATTAAATAGTTATTTCAATTGTATTTATAAAAAGTAATATTAAATGCTGGTTAAAATGACATATATATTTATGACTCGAACATGAGGATGGAACAACATGTAAATAATGTCTGTAGGAACTGTTATGCACAATTAAGACAAATCGGTCACATCAGACCCTATCTTACTGTTAAAGCAACCAAATCTCTAGTAAATTCACTTGTTACTTCTAGGTTAGACTACTGTAATGCACTGTTATATGGAGTCTCTAAGCAGTCAATGACCAAGTTACAACATGTTCAAAATACAGCAGCTAGAATTGTGACCAAAACACTCAAATATGACCACATAACACCTATCTTACGTGACCTTCACTGGCTTCCGGCAGAGTATCGGGTCGAATATAAAATTTTGACTTATACATATAAATCCCTCATCGATCAATCACCAGCCTATATAAAAGACATGATAGACGTGTACATCCCAGTCAGAAATCTGAGGTCCCAGAATAACTCAATGACATTAGTTGTGCCTAAATCTCGGACAGTACGATATGGTGACAGGTGCTTCCAGACAGCCGCAGCGAAATTATGGAACTCGTTACCACCTGACATTAGAGACTGTAATACCTTGCCATGTTTTAAGAGAGCTCTCAAAACACATTATTTCATAAAGTTCTATGGACGTTAGTTCATAAATCATCATACATGTACTACTTTTGCTATATTATCAGTGTTAATTTTAATTGAGCCTTGATTTTAAACTAAATGTGTCTGTATTTCTTGCCATCCTTTACTTGTTTTGGATTATCATTATTGTTTAATAGGTTTACTTAATTAATGTTGTACATTATGTCTTATATATATATGTGATTATGTTTTATCGGATTTATGTAAAGCACTCTTGAACATTTATTATTTATGAAAAGAGTGCTATAGAAATGTGGTATATAATAATAATAAATAATAATAATAATAATTTTAATCCGATTCTAACAAACGGTATTCATATTTTAATGATACTTTCAGAATGTATAAAACGCTAACATTATTTATTCTGTATTCTCTGAATGACTTAACGTTCGACATTGCGATGCAACATTGCGATGCGTATTGAAGATACAGTCTTCAAATAACAAAACTTTGAAAAAAAGAGTTTTATCATTTACATTCGGTCTCTGGCACGTTACTCTATGTCACAAGATAAAAATAACATTAAAAAATCTTAATATATTAAGTACATAACAACTTAGTAACTACGTAACAGATTGAAAATATATATTTCATTTTCGTTCTTTTTCATTTCAGATGCTTGAATCATAACTTTAAACTTAAGGGAATACAACGAAAAAGTCATTTATACCTTTATCTCATATCTGCAGTAGGAAGCCATTTTCTCACAAGTGTTCCACATGTCATTGTAGTAGATCTTTCCTATCATTGTCTTAGCTATTTGCACTATTTCCTCAGGATCATCTGGGCTTTATTTAATACATATATATTACATTTATTTGTAAACTAACTTAACTTTCTTATTCTATCAAGATATATTAGAAAACAAAGTATGTAAAGATAACGATTTGTTTTTACTAGTAAAAGAATAACCAACTGTAGCAAGCAAATGAACATATCGCTTCAAACTGTTGTCTTTGCATTTTTTTCCCATGTTTTTCCATTGGCGCCCATAGTTTAATACTAGCCTTTAATGCGCATTAACGCTTTGTCGGCACAGAGCAACTGACGTCACGTCAAAATATATGCATGACCGTACCATTCCATTTTTACGGTCTCTCGAAATCGGCATCTATCTTGTAAATACTTTCTACTCTTCTACAGTTATAATTAGGTTTCATTTCTTAATAGAATAAAGAGTTCATACATTAGTTTCCAATCCATCTCAAAAGTAAATTATAGACAAAAACAAACTGCAAATAACACGGGTATTGCTTTAAGTATTTCATTAGTTTTACTTGTAATTAAGAAGAACTTAATCAGGAAGCTATGAAACGAATCTTACGTCAACCATTTGTCTTTGCAATTTCTCTCGTATGTATCAAATGTTGTAGCAACAACCAAAAAGTCCTCCTCCTTAACAGCCGCCTTAATATATCTTTTACCGGCGATCGTAAACAAAGCGTCATTTGTTTCAATGGAATCGTGTACAAGATTTCCGATCTCCCCAGTAAGGTGAACCACTTTCTTTTCTCCTATAAAATAGTAAGTCACCCAATACAGAGTAAAATGATATCACAGAAATTAACACTCAGATATTAACTGAGTGTTAAATAATATCACATTTTTAATTTAAAAAAAAAACCTTACGCTTTGATAATTTATAGCAAGTCACTCAATACAGTGTAAAATTATAACACAGGAATCAGAACTCAGATATTAACTGAGTGTTAAATAATATCACAATGTTTAAAAAAATCCCTTACGCTTTGATAACTTTTTTTCATAATAGGTTTTTTGAAATGTTAGGTAACACAGTTAAAGTGATACAATAAAAAAGGCAACTAATTTCCTTCAGAAAAATATATTAATTTGTAGGTTTTAACCTTCACTGATTTTTAAGGAATCAGTATTTTATTTTATATATAATAATTATTTTTATTTCCTTCACTGTTTTTGAAGAATTTGATGTTTAATCTTATCTATCCTTATAGTATAACAATTATTGTTATTTGTACGATAGGACCATTGGTGATTTCCGTTTAATTGAAGTAATAATAAATCATAAAGAAGAGATCATACCTACATAAATTCCCCAATGAGTGACTGTTTGACTGTGAAATATTACCATATCACCCGCAACGAGTGAGTCAAGAAATTGTTTTGCGTTGATTTGGTGAGCCATTGTTTCAATGGTTGCTAAAATATTGACACAAACTCTTCAATCAGAAAAAAGATGAAGTTAAATTATGCAAAATAAATCTACACAGTTGGGCAATCATGAATGTGACAAACTTGCAATAATTGAAAACTCAATGACGAGCATTTAATATAATAAACAACTAAATTTATCAAAAAAAGTAGAATTAATTCAATTTTAATAACGACTATTGAAAAATGAAAAAGAAAAACAGCATTGATTGTGTTTGTTTAGTTTTAACGGCGCACTTACACAATTTTGGTTATTTGCGCTATATAACCTAAATTATGTTGGTGCGCCGTAAAACCAAACAGACAATGTTGTATGTTAAACAGTCGTCCTACATTTTGGTAAGTAAAGTCGTTTGTAATTATATCAAATTCGCATTAATGAATTATTACGTTTTACATACTTATGACTTTTTTGCTTCCCATAGTGTAAGACAGTACAATTTCGATTGAATTAACATCATCATCTTATATCTAAAATAACACTTAAGTTGCAAAATATGTTATATCGTCTAATTTCAAGTGTTACGAGGGGCGTTCGAAAAATAATTCGAGTTATTTTGTTTGTAGTTTTACTATTTTCTTCCGCTTAGGTTTGTGAACGTAAACCCAGGTCTCATCACAAGAAACTAGGCCATCCGACGCCCTTTTTTCTATAACCTGGGTACATTTTTAGAAGTTTTTTGGCCACTGCGACCGGGGTCCTCTTTTGCTCATTTGTCAGTAAATGGGGTATTTATCGTGCAAATATTTTCTTAAGGTTCAGGATCTTCTTTAAAATGTTAACGGTGTTTGTGTAGCCGGCTAAGTGCCTTATGGTAAATCTGGAATATTTTTTTAGCAAATCGATGATCTTTTTTATGTTACATTTGGTCGTTGTTTTGCAGGACGACCAGGGCGAGCAGCATCTTGAAGTTGCTGCAGCCCGCTCTTGAATTTTCGAATCCTCCTGTAAACCGTGCTGAAAGACATTGATCCTCCCCATAGATCGCATACCTCTCTGTGATATTACAAATTCAAAGTTATGAGATAATTTTTCGCTATGTTACGCACAAAGGGTTACTGTATGGACACGTGGTTGCTTTTATTACGGTTTGTACGCTTTGCATGAGATAAAGCTTCACTTATATCATTTTTCGAACGTCCCTCGTATATTTTAATCTTTTCGTGACGTTTAAATTAGAACATGCAAGCAATATAATTTATTTATCGAATAGGACAACTAGTGTCATAAAAAATAACTTGATGAACGAAGATATTGAACACTTTAATATCAACATATTATTTGCAATCATTAACAACTTATTTAATTCAACAAATTAACAACACGGAAATAGTTAAGGAAATTAAAATTAGGGAAATTAAGGAAAATTTATTGAAAAAAAAACAATTAAGTGTGTTCATTCATTAAACAAATAGTCGAAATTAACGCGTAAAGCAGCATACATATACTTAAGAAAACGAGGCAAGAAATTTTTAAATTCATTAAATATATGACATTAATAAGAACACCGATCAATTATGCCTACATGTCATGTGTAATTTTATACTTATCAAATATTACATTCTACAAGAAAACACGGCTGCAATAGCTATATGGACACAAAATAAAAATCATTATCAATTGAACTTTTAATACAGTATTTAATTCTATGCCCCATATTCATTAGATAAAAAGTGTAATACAAAACCATAACACGGTAGAAAGTTAACAGAAGTTTGTAGAATAAAAACAACAAATATATGGAGAATCCATGACGGAAATCTGTAGAAATATACCAGTGCAAAGTAGGGAGAAAAAAACTAAATTAATATCATTTTGTTACAAAAAACAACATTATTTTTATTCATAATTTAAGTGTGCTTATTTACTAAAGTTATTTTGATTCTTATACATTTTTACCTGTTATTGTTGAAGAGTGCCCAACAGCCAATTATAGTTAACGCATTATTTTAATAAAGGCATTTCGGAAAACTTGACATACTCATAATGAAAAGGTTATATATTGAAAGACTCAAAGTACAACAAAATATACAAGAATGTTTGAAAACGGATTTTTATAGCACAATATTTATCTTACCTTCATAAACACAAAAAAACAACAACAAAAAAGCTAAGAATGATATGGAAAATGTGACTGTAAGAAACTAACCTATTTTTATATTTGCATATCCCTAGAACGGTTCTCTACAACAATATAGTTATTATAATATACTTATGTAGAAAAACGAAATGAAGTCGCTCTTTAAAACATAATTGTTTAATGACTTAGTAGGAAATAAAACCCATAGACGGAAAAAAAGTTGACTTATCAAAGTTAACTTCGAACATTAAGGAGTACTTGAAAAATTCACACGAGGACAAAAAAATGATCATACGTTGATAACAATAGAAAAGGGAAGTGTAATCGAGATATCTAAAAGTGTCCATTGTTCTGAATGTTAACCAACAAGTAAAATTAGAAAACAAACGGAATCCAATAAAACGACCTAAAATGACATAACTGAAATATTTAATAGGTTTGGTTTTTGCCTTTACATGTACAATAGTGGTAAAGACATGCGACGTTCAAGTCCACTAGCACCGGCTTAAGTAGTATTCAATGTTTAAGCATGACAAATGCCTCTAAAATTAAAAAAAAATAAAAACATCCGCAGATATATGAATACGACTGTGATCATTCAACCGTCAATGTGACACTTTCGTGTAATTTTATATAAAGCGACGGGTTGTAAAGTAAAGAAATACATGTGCCCTAAACGAGGAAAAGATGGCATCTTCCCAACAAAATATAGAACGATGTGGTTTAAAGGTATAGCCTTGAGAATTAAGTGCATTTAATTTATAAGTTATTTCGAAGTTATAGACGTGATAAAGCTCTGTGCACGTATTCAATATACTTTTGCTTTCAAACCATTGATGAAAAAGATGATTGGAACATTGTTTGAAACAATATTATTAGAGACGGAATGCTTTTTTATTAAACAGCAGACGGAATACTTTTAATTAAAGAAAGCATTACTTAAACAAAACAAATGGTGCTTCCTTTAAAAATGTTCAAACTTAACCATGTTGAAAAAATCTAAATGCACGTAAAATACATTTTCCTTATTTTATATTAACAAGCGGACAGATTTAAGTATTTCAAGTAAAATTTGTCCGCTTTCTAAGTATCTTTAAGATGAAGTTTTTCCGCAAACTTTTGTTACACTAATTTCTTGGAGCTGTATATCAAAACAAGGTTGTTCCAGGTGACTTATTTACTTACTTCATAACTATTTAGTACATTGAATGTCAGTCAATAAAACCGCTTTTAACATTTTAATATCCATAAAACCATGAAACCTTAGATAGTTAATTGCTAGTATACGGTGTATAGGATTGTAGAACTTAAACTTGTAATGTACCTACTTATTTATCTTTAATTTATTTGATAATTAAACTGAATTGAAAGTTGATATATTTAAAATTTGTATACACATCAAAGCTCTGTACCTCACAGTCTGAATGCTTTAACAATTTACATTTTGCATTATTGTTGAAAAGTAAAATATTTATTAACAGCAAAAACACCATGAGAATGCTTTATTGGGGAATGTTTGATGTGTGCGATAAATGATCTAGACCACTTAGCCAAAGAATTATTTCCCTCACGCATATAGCGGAGTTTGCAATTATAGTTATGACTCAATAAACAATAGCTTACTTAATGCGGAAATAATAATTTGAGAGCACTTCACTGATAAGGAAATATAGCAATCATAATCAATAGTCATTGTTTGAAATGAAAACTGAATTATGTGCATATTTAGTTTTTCCTTTCTTCCATTTACAGCGCACTTTTTCTGTAATTTTGCACCGGAGAAGAACCACTGATGTTCCGTAAGCTTACTGGATAGCTTTCTCTGGCGTGATTCAGTCCCACAGCGGAGAGGGACAAGTGCTTTGAAGTCAACGACTTTAACCACTCGGCCACCGACACTCCTTACAATTCGTTTGCCTTCTTTATTAAAAATCTTTTTCCTGGTATAACAGATGATGTACAATTTCACTTTATGCTCATTTACATATGAAATTTGAATTTCAACAAGCAAAGTTTTATTTTTCCCGAGTCTGATGTTTAAGTGCAGAGTTTAAAATCTGTTTACCAGCACCTCCCCTCGTCGCTGTAGGTTCCAATCACATGAGAAACATTGGAAACGTTCATGTGAGGAAGCTCTTCAGATAGCTTATAAATGTTTGGTGGTTCTACTCTGGTGCCATTAAGTGCCTGAAGTAATGCACGACATGGCGCTACTAGTCAAACTGAAAAGTTGCCAAAAGTTGAAAAGTTATTACCTTTTTGTAGTCGGTTTGACTTGAAAATGAAACAAACAAAAAAATAAGCAAAGAAATTCTTTATTGTATTGTGAAAGTGCATTATTAGTTATGTTCAGATAGTTTTATTTATAATTGGCCTCCGCGCCGAAGCGCGGCGCCCTTATGGAATGAAATCAGATTTTGTGAAAGGGCGACAGCAACTTCTCGAGCCTTTTAGTCAGTCATAATAAAAGCCGAACATTGCGATCGGTATGAGGGTGCTTGATTATTAATTAAGAATGAAATATCGCGATATGTTACAATGAATAGCGAACTGGAGAATTTCGCAATGCAAACATTTTCAAATGAAATAACCTTTTCCGTCAATAAATCGCGCTCTTTCGGGGTTTTTTATTTATCATTTTGTAGTACACAGTGGGTTATCATGGTATGTTATTGTTTTACATGTATCCTGGAATGATCAGTTGATGACCTAAATATTCCAAAAATCTATTTATAGATATATCTATTTATCACTCCTATCGGTAATTACCGGTCTCTCCCGGTCTATTTTGACCGGGATTTACTAGTGACCGGCGAATAGTACCACACGTTAATTGTCCGGTCTCTCCCGGTTTTGGAGTAGATGTTTGATATCGTTACAATTAGAAAAAAACA